GGTGGTGAGAAAGGACAAAAAGGGGGAGGGGGGAGGTAGGTTGGAAGGAGGGGATGAAAGAAGCCAGTAGTAGCTAGATAACAAAAGGGAAGATGTTAAGTACAGGGAGGAGAAGGTCAATCAGTGCCCATCAGAGTACAATATTCTTCCGAAAGATAGAACTAATTCCAATAAAACTGTGTTGTGCTAAACATGGAGGAAGTGTCTTTAATTGAACTAGTAAGATCTTCCACATGCATAATATTGTTGATTTTGTGAAACCACAGCCTAATTGTGGGGGGAAAGGTACTTTTCTACAGAGCTGGAACACATGCCCGAGCAGAATTCACCAAGTGAATGATCACCAATCGCCTGTATCCCTTAAGGGACTAAGAATTGTGATAGAGTAAAAAAAAAAAGAAGGGTCCAATGGAACCTCACAATCTGTAAACTTATGAGTAATGGTGCATACCTTAGACCTAAAATCCTGTAACACAGAACAGGACCAAAAAATGTGAAGCATGTCCGTGGGAGAGCAGCCACATTGCCAACACTTATCTGGGTGAGTCAGGGAAAATCTTATGGAGCACATTGTGAGTCCCGTACTATCTAGTCAATATTGTATACCCTTATTCCTGGTAGGCATTGCAAGAGAAAGTTTAAGTATCTTGGATTGTCCTACTAGGGAGAAGGAGACCCCCAGATCCCGTTGCCATCAGTTGATAAAATCAAGAGGCTTTTTCACATCAGGCAGAAGAAACAATTTGTAGCAAAGAGAGAGGACTCTCTGGACCCAGCTGGGAGCATTCCTGTTCAAACATAGCTAAAGGGCAGGCAAACGTTGATGAAGGCGGAAGCGAAGAAAGAAAGTGATGTAATTGATGGTGTTTCCAAAATCCCAGAGGGGCGAGAACTGGATCCCCTGCCATGTCTGTCAACGAAGGCCACAGAGAAGGCCCTTATCAACTTGTGATAGTCCCACTGCAAGGGTTCATTTTTAAATTTCTTGGAGTTCTTCTTTAAAGAACCACTGTAGCGAAAACAGGTGCATTGGTACAGATATTGAGATAAATGACAGTAATGCCAATTTAATATCTAACAGAACCTTTAGCTGATGTTAATGGCCATATTAGGAAAAAAGAGGCAGCGTTATAGCAGTCTGTAGTTTTCTTTTATGGAATTAATGGACAGTAAGCCTGCTGTATTTTAAAACCTTTTTATTACCTTCTTTTTAAAGCAGAATTCCAGTCCTCCGACCCTTCCAAGTTCCTTATAAATGAAAAATCGTATGTGAACTGTCTTACCTGCTAAAGGTTTTGCAATCCTATTAAGCTAGTCATGTGATCCAAGCACCATTGCTATACTTCACACCTGTGCTGGATTCACATGCACATAAAAGCACCATATACAGTGGATATAAAAGTCTACCCCCTCCTGTAAAAATGCCAGGTTTTTAAGATGTAAAAAAATCAGACCAAGATAAGTCATTTGAGAAATTATTTCCACCTTTAATGTGACCTATAATCTGTGTAATTCAACTAAAAAAAAACAAAATTAAATCTTTAAAGGGGGAAAAATAAAACTAAAAAGCTTAAATTAACATGGTTGTATAAATATGCACACCCTTAAACTAATACTTTGTTAAAGCTCTTTTTGATTTGATGACAGCATTCAGTCTTTTGGCACATCTTGCCTTGGGAATCTTTGCCCACTCTTCCTTGCAAAAGCGCTCCAAATCTGTCAGATTGCAAGGGCATCTTCTGTGCACAGCCCCCTTCAGGTCACCGCACAGGCTTTCAGTTAGATTCAGGTCTGGGCTGTGGCTGGGCCATTCCAAAACTTAGATCTTTATTGTTACCTTCAGCTTTTTAGCAGAGGCCCTAAGGTTTTGTG